CCCCCCCCTCTCTCTCGCTCTTATTCTTTATTTATTTACAGTTAAACTGCAAGCTTCAGATAGAGGCCAGCCTTGACAATGTCCGACTGCCTGCCTGTTTTTTTTCTTCTTCGTTCATTTTTGGCTCTGATATATTTGTTTGTTTGTGTTGACAGACAGACTGAAWGGCTGACAGACGACAGACGACAGCACAATGGCCAACAATGCGGCTTATTGTTTGAGCCAGTTTTCAGCTTTATTAACTGTATGCAGACAGACATGCATGCAGTATAATATATACATATCTCTCTCTCTCTCACACACTGTATGATTGTATGTTTGGCAATGACGCAGCAACATTTTGTCGCCGCTTTGCTGGTAATTCTAGCGCCAAATTGTATGCAAATCGCCCACAATTGTTATGCGCCGCCCACTTTTAAGTTTTGTCAGCTGTGGCAGCAGCAATACCCCAACACCCTCAGCGCTATCAACCACCCCTGCCATACCCATTTTGTCTTATCGCATCCAATTAGCTGGGTCTTCAGCTTCAGCTTCTCTGGCTACGTGTGCGTATGCGTTATAATTTGGCCTTGTCGCCAGTTGCTCTTATTGAAGTTTTATGGCCCTGTAACGGGATACCTTGTGGCGCCTTCAGTTGTCCCATTCGTCTGCTATAACCCAATCCCCCCAATCTCCTCTCTCTCTTTCTGCCCCTTCTCTATCAGCTACTCGCTTTGCCCTCTCCCTCTCTCTTTTGGCTGGGCGGGCGTTTGCAGCTAGCGGAAGTCTGTAATTACGGCCACACTTTGAAAGGCCAAGTTTAGTCGCTTCTATTTGTTTTCTTCTTTCGATTTTTTGTTTCTTAGTTTTTGTTGCTGTTGTTGTTGGCATTTCGGAGCAACACTCCCAGTCGGTGAGGATGACTAGCAACAAATGTGTCAACCATTGTCTCCCTTTGTTTTTTTTTTCTTTTCAATTTTTATGATCGTTCAAAAATCAATAGCTAAACAGATATACATATACATACACATATGCATATACATATATGTATATTTGCATTGATAAATATGTATGCCTGCTGTTGAGGCTCATTTGCATCAATGCCCAAACGCTCAAGTTCAAAGCGTTTGCTTGACCGAGACCGTGGACACCCATTTGGTGGTCCATATGCCTACAGTGAGTCGTCATTTTTTGAAGAAAAAAAGATCTACGAAGTAGAGGAAGTTAAGATTGTGAATGTGTTACAGATATCGAATCTTAGGTCTTTATGTTTTAGTTTTTTCAAGTTGCTTGCTATGCTATTGTTAAAGCTTTTTATTAGATAGTCAATCTAATCAAATTTAAGGTCAGCTTTGGCTGCATTCGAAAACAGGTTCAGTAGGTCTTTGAACGTTGTGTATTACTGAACACTAAAAGAAAACCTTAAAGAATTTTTATTGAATTAAATTAAAATAGCTTTTATGCTCTAGAATGCTCTCTGGTATTTCCAAGTAATTATCTATATGTATTTCATATGTAATGAAACTACATCTTCAATCAATATTCATATTTCTTTTATTGATTTTGTAGATTATTTTTAGGTCTTTTATATGTTTGAACATTTTCTTAAAGAGTATTTAAAATGCATCACAACTGATAATTGAAATAATCATACAATATAAATAGAGAAAAAAAAAATATATACACGCATATATAATCGTATATATACATATATTTTATAATGATCATTGAAAAAAAACTTGATTGGCAAATTGAAGCAGCGCTTGACAAAGGTTTGCTCCAAATGTCAAGAGTATATTTATAGCTAATATACCATATTAGTTGTTCAGCAGATGTGATTATAGCAACTCTTGTTTTCTGTATTTTTATAGGTTTCAGTTAGTTGAGTTGGGTTTGATGTCAATGCCATTGTTAAGATTTGGTTTGGTTTGTTTTTAGTTATGTGTTGTGTGTGCAGAGTCAACGAGTGTAACTAACAAGTAATGGGGCGGGCAGGCACGCTTTTGGCCATGGTCAATTCTATCTAATTAACGAGCACACACTTGGATTTTATGCATGCGTTATGTGCTATAAAGATGTATGCCATAAACCATTGCCAACAACAGCAACTCGTGAGTGTGCTATAAACATAAATTCAAAACGGACAAACGAATCCGACGACGGCTGCAGTTGCATCACGTTCTAGACTGCATGGGAAATCAGCAGGGAACAGCTAAAGCAGCAACAACAGCTGAGAGCAAACAGCAGAGGCGACAACAAATACAGTTATTGAGCAATGACCAACGGTAGCTGTTGCTCTTTATTGAAAGAAGCTTTTGCCGAGCAGCAGCTGTAGCAGCAGTGGCAGCGGGCGCAGCAGCCGCACGACTGATCGTTTACTTTGAGCGGGCGCAGCCAATTATCGAATGTAAACAAAAACAAAGCTGAGAAATCTGCTTGCATGAACCTCTGACCGGGAGAAGCCAAGCTTAGCCGCTAAGCAGCGACGCCAACGCCAACGGCGACCGCGACGTCCACTGCAACGTCTTTTGCATACTCGTGAGCCTCTCTCTCTCTCTCTGTGTGTGGCGCTCAGTGAGTGTGTGTGTGATTGTGTGCGTGTGCACTCAGCTAGTTTTTGGGCGATTTCTGTGTCCGTGTGTTATAAACTAAGCAATACATGTACAAGGCGTTATATAGCTTAGTCTTTTTCTCATCGTATTCACTTAGTCGTTTTCTATTTGGCTGTTTTTTTTTTTTTTGTCGTATATTTTTGATCGAGGCTCTTTTCCTAATTGTCAAGCCGAGTTTGTTCAGTTGGTGTTTGGCATTCAGAGCGCGCGTACGACTATGCGAATGCAGATCGCTTGGACATTCTAAATATATCCTGATAAACATAAAACTTAATACTTAGGAAGTGTTATAGTACATAACTGTCTTTTGAGTGAATTTTGGATTATTGAAAAAAGGTGTGCTTAATTTATGTGTGAAGCAGTTTGTGCTAAAAAAAAATATCAAATTATAAATTAACAGTTAACAATTCTTGTAATATTTTAAAGTGTTGTGTTTCATCCTGCTGTTCTTTAATTGACTCATTTAATATCAAGTGCTTATAAGATCTAAGTACATTCCCGGCATTTTTTATATTAATTGCTTTTCCTTTTTGCATTGACATCTTTGGCTTGGCTCAAACTGGTTGCCCAACTCTTGGCCAAATAACCAAAAAAATTGCAATTGAACAAGTTAGCAGCGTCGGCGTCTTATTTTATTTTTGGCAAAAACTATACTTAACCTGTCGCATTCCCATGTGCTCCATGACACCAGGTGGGGTTTTCTCACCAACTCCAGTTGGGGCTAGCTTAGCCATGGGCCTTTTGTTATACTCTATAACAGAAGCTGTTTAGACAATAAAAATTTAAGCTTTGTTTACTTATTACTTATTATATGTACTGTATAATTAAAACTGGAATTGCTTATAATATAGTAGCTTTTTTCAGTAACAATTAATTGAAGGCTAACAATTCTACTCCGTGACAAAAATACTTTAAAATTAAATAGTCTCTATCCTAATACTGCAAGCCTTGCTCAATAGATTTCGATATCTTTCAGTCTCTTCCGAATCATATTAATATAACAATCAGTAACTCAACTTGGCCTTCGTTTCAGTTTTCTGAATCTATTCAATCAATTCGTAAACAATACCGCAAAAGTGGTTTTTCTTGTCAATAAAATTGATATAGATTTTGATAGATTTATAAATAAACAACATCTAAAACAGATCCTACCTATATAACAAATTTAAAAA